TTTTTAAAGATTTTATTTTTAAGTAATCTCCACACCCAACGTGGGGCTTGAGCTCACAACCCCAAGAGTCCCATGCTCTACTGACTGAGCCAGTCAGTAAAGCATGGGACTCTCAAGAAGGAAAAGGACAGGGTCAGGCCTAAGTAAAATTTCAAAGTACCCCCCCCACACACTTTTTTCCCCCTTCAGTGTTACTCCACCTCCCTTTTGGAGCTCCCTTCCCACCTCCTGGCTTCCGGTCTCCCCCATGCCCATACTGAGACGGTTGCTCAAATCCTCACTGCCGTGTGCTACCCTTTCTTCATCAACTCTCCAGCCAGAAAATGACCCCTTTCATCTCTCCCCACTCAGGTGCCCATTATGGATCATCTAAGCAAAGTGTTAGGAAGAGAACAATTTAAAGAAACGAACTTTACAGTTTGCATTTCATAAAAGGAAACCTGATAATCTGAATAAATTGGTGGGTTGGATAATTTGGAGACTGTGATATAGATCGCTCTGGCTGAGATGAGATGATCTGTGAATGTCTAGACCTGTGTTGTCCGATCTTGTAGGGACTAGCCACATGTGGCTGTTTCAGTTTACATTGATTTAATTAGAAAGTTAGTTTCTCAAGTGCACCAGCCACATTTCAAGTGCTCAGTCACTATAGTAGACAGTACAGATGTTGAACATTTCCATCACTGCAAAAATTCTACTGACAGCACTGATCTAGATCATTGCTACTCAGATGTGGTCCATGGACCAGCAGCATCCATACCACCTGGGAGCTTAGAGAAATGCAGACTCTCAGGTCCATTCTGGACCTACCAAATATCAGTCTTCTTTTAAACAAGATTTGTCAATGATCAGCATGGACCTAGCCACATTTTTAACTCTCCCAGGTATTAAGGATTTGAGTTCTTCAAAAAGCCCTCAGAATAGCTCATTCCCCAACTCACCACTTCCTTAGAAATGCCAGAAATGAGCTTTAACTCATTCATCACCCTCACTGAGTTTTCTTCCCAATGCTTTTTCCTGATTCTGGTTGTAGATAAACCCTGCCTACCCATGGGTTTTATTTTGGTAGCTAAGGTAAAACAGGAGATTGGCTGACCAACACAGCTGGCCCCTCTCCAGCTCCCCATGTCACAGCTGAGTCACTAACAATCCACTTCTGCTCAGTTTCTCGCTCATGTGGCATTCTCATTTGTTCACAACTTAAGTCACAGGGAACATTTCAGAAGAATATGTACCGAGATAAGTAAAGACCGGGTCAGTCTCCTACAACTTGTACATTTCACTTTCTCTTATCGCTAGATTATCTTGTTGACATAGTTCATACTTGAGGATACAGATAGCACATGCACACGAAATGAATCACGAGGCTTGGGAAAAAAAAAAAAAGAAAGAACCAAAATGAGTGCAAGTAAACTGAACATGTCATCAAAGCCCTCAAAGAGGGCGCATTTTGCTGGACTTTTTTTTCTTATTATGCCAAATTATCTTGATTTTTCAGAGAGTTAATTCTGTAAAGTAGTGCCTACGATATATCATAATTTTGATCCTTAAAATACGAATTATTTAATTCTCTAATAAGATCTTTCCCAGTGATTTATTGTCAATACTTAATCATTTTTACATACTGATATCATTTACCAGAACATTACTGCCTAGAGATTCTTTAGCTAATCTTAAGGAATAAAGAGGGCACTACTTTAGTCTTAATAGGAGTTATTTTTAACAGGATTCAAAAAAGAATATATTTATGCAAAGCTATGACTTAGAAAATTACAGTGGAAATCTCTATATACATCATTTATGAAGTAAATTATCTATTCTGTCAGACTGGGCTGACAATATAGTGGGCTTTCACATGATACAGATGTGAATTCTTAAAGGATAGAGTTTTTCGCTGAGCTCCATAAATGTTACATCTCTCAGCCTTGACCTTTAGGATCTCTCCTTCCCTCTCCTGGCAGAATGAACTCATCCTGCATTTTTCAGATGCAAACTAGGTAAATTGGTTCAGTGTGTGATAATAATACAAGTGGCAGTTTTAAAACACCAAGTTTTTATAATCAGTTGGAAAGCGTGAATCGTGAAGATTCTTCACATACTAACTACTGGTCAATGGCATAACCTCCCTGGCAG